TCTCTAACTTTCCCTTGAGTCACCCTTGTTCCGAAGTCTCCTGTTTCCCCTATCCATATCTTGAACCAGGACTGTTTGCTCGTTGTTGGAATCGTTGCTTGTTTTTTAGTAGTATCAATCGTTCCTGGCCCCTTGGATTTGTCCAACTCTTTCTCCTTGCCGTTTGGTGACCCTTCCGTAACAAGTCTCTTCTTGCTGTGTCATCTCTGCTTCCTTAGCCCATAATTCTGTACTGGGTTCTTGCTCCTGTATTGTTCCTCACCTTCCACTTTCCTGAGTCTATCTTGGGCTGCTGTCCTGTCTTTTTCCTCCATGCACCTTTTCGCTCTTTCAGTTCCCCTTTATTCACCTTCCCTGGGCCCCTGTCGAACTACCCCCTTTTGTTGGAGTTCAAGCCGTGATTAAACCAACCAACGTTGCCCATTTCTGATAGCCCCTTTCTGGTACCGAATTCTGTCCGGTCTTGGTTGGTCTGCCACCTCCTACAACGGCTCTCCTCTTGTGTCGTCGTTCTGGTTTCTGTCCACACCTTCTCCCGTGGGTAGGCCCATCCTTCAATTGTTCTGCTGCCTCCCTCCTTCCGCATGACCTGTAGGGTCTCTTTCCTGATGAGTTCAAGCCAGCATCTATCTGCCTTTCGCGCCTGTTCAGGGATGTTAGTCAAGAGGGGATGTTGAATGTGTTACACCAGAGAGGAAGTTGAGAAGGGTGAGTCCCACTGCGAGGAAACTCTCGCCCAGTCTATCCTCTACCCGTATTCTGTCGTATCTTCCCAGTTCTTCTTATTTACCCCCCCTCGCTAGATCTTACTGGCTTGTCTATATTTCCTTCTCTTTCCTTTTATCCTACCCCTCTCTTGTTCCCTGGTTTCGTCCTCCCTCTTCTCTCCATGTAAAGCGAAGTTGTGTGCCTCTGACCTCTGCTACTGCCCCTTGACCCAAAGTGTTGTCCTTAAACTTTTTAATTATCTCCTCCTCTTGTCCTGGTCGTTGCCGCACCTGTTGTCTCACTCTTTTCCACTGCGCGTTGAGATGTGTTTCCACTGCCTTGAGCAGCAGCTCCCTAGCTTCCTCTCTGTGCATTAGCGTTCCTTCCATAGTAGCCTGACATCTCCTCTTCCGAATGGTCCACAGCCCATATTGTCTCAGCAGCTGAAAGATATGTCTCTGATAGGGTTGCATCCGTTTGGGTACCCCAATCCCCAATAGCCTAGCAATTGTTGATTCCGGGAAAGCAATTTTCGCCACCTGTTTCCAAATTCCCTTGACTTGATCCCACATCCCTTCCGCCTCCTTGCACTCCAGTAGACAATGCACCAATGTTTCAGGGAGCCCTTCTTGGCACACTCTGCATAGTTCAGCTTCCTCACTTCTCTGGTTGTGACTTCTTCTTTCGTTGAGCCACACATTCACTGGCAGTGCCACGTGGGCTATTAGCCATTGCATACTCCTCACCTGTCCCAGTCTTATGGATATAATACTTGACCAAGGTATGTCTGGCATTTGGCTTCTGGGGACCCCCAGCCTTTTCTCCCACCGTTTGAGCGGAGTAAGTCCCGTAGACAGGGATCTGCTCCTCAATCTGTACCCTGTTTTTGTGGTATAGTGTAGGATATTGATTCTCCTTGCTACTCTTGATTGTTCCCCTCTAATGTTCCAGGCCCATTCCCCGGGATCCACCTCTAGCTCCTCGATTGGAACTGTTGAATTGTACACTGTGAACTCCTCCATCTCTATCGCTCTTACCTTCCGCAACCCTTGCTTGAGAATGTACAGTGGCGCTTTTGATGTCCTGTCCAATTGGGACGTGGTGTTGCACGGCTGTATTATGTCGTATTTGTCCGCTGCTAGACATTCGTTCCTGTCTTGTCCGTATTCCCCGGGATCCACCTCTAGCTCCTCGATTGGAACTGTTGAATTGTACACTGTGAACTCCTCCATCTCTATCACTCTTACCTTCCGCAACCCTTGCTTGAGAATGTACAGTGGCGCTTTTGATGTCCTGTCGAATTGGGACGTGGTGTTGCACGGCTGTATTATGTCGTATTTGTCCGCTGCTAGCCATTCATTCCTGTCTTTGTCCGTATCCCACACCCTGAACACCTCTCTAGGTTCTGCATCATCTTCCCATGTGGCCCAATCTCCCTCCCTCCATTGCTTACCCCCCCTCAACAACTGCACCCAGGTTGGATGTATGGAGCCTGTGACTACACCCAGATTGTCCTGAAGATTGTGACATCCCTTCAATATCCTCCTCAGCTCCTCTGTTGTTTTCCATCGGTTGCTTTCCTCGTCCCAAATGTGTTTGATCTGCCATACCCCGTGTTCCAACCATCTGCCCCATCTCGAGTCCTTGCTTGTTAATGTTAGAGGCTTTCCAGTATTGTCCTTAATGCTTGTGTTGCAGAATAACGGTTGTCTTAATACCTCCTCTCTTGTAGTAGGCTCTCTTACCTTAGCTGGGAAGACTTCCTTCCACAGCTGTATTAGTTGTAGCCAATAAGACGGGTTTCTAGCTCTCACTCCTTGTATTCCTTTATTCTCCTCCCTGTAGCCCATTTTAGCCCAGTTACTACACATAATCCAGAATAACCCCGTCATGTTGCTCGAAGTTTTGTATTTGGCTATCTGTCTAATCCTTCCCAGTACTAATGACGTCCATGATAACCTGGGCTGTGAAATTAGCTTAACCACCCATTTTGTTTGAAGCGCTTTCAACTGCTGGGTTGGGTCGAGAATACCTAAGCCTCCTTGCCCTTTGGGTCTGGTTACTGTTTTCCATGCCACCTTGGCTTCGAAATGGTCTGTGTTGTGCTTCGCCGTCCATAAGAAGGCTGCTGCCTTTCTCCTAAGCTGGGCCGACGCGGTCTTGGGCGGGGTCCAGATAGACCCCGCATACCACATCATGGAGAAAATTGATGCATTCAAAATCAGTGTTCTTTCATATATTGATGTGTACACCGCCGACCAAGCGCCGAACTTTGCTAACGCCT